AAGCTTGCAGATGTATCCCTTGTGAGTCACTGAGTACCTAACTATAAATGCCCCGTTAAACTAAGGCTTGACACTTATAGATGCCTGGACACTTACAGATGCCTGGGACGCATGGATGCCCAAATTGATATGTCTGGACCCCTACAAATTTCAAAAGTTTAACATGGGGCTATAAATATGGATACATACCCTAACAATTTCGGTCAGGACCCCCTATGAAACAAAAATGTGTGTGGAGCCCTTATGATCCTATAGGGTGACTAACATGTAGCACATACTGTGGCACAATGGCATCGCTTGAGTCGAGAGATAGAGAGGGCACTGCCCATGCTCAGCCAATGAAATTAAAAAGACAAATTAACCAAACAAAACAAAAAGTGAGGTAGGGTTGTGGGGGAGGGTCATGTCATCTTCTTGCTACCTTTCCCCTCTCTCTTTTTCTAATTTTTGTCATCCCATTTATTGCTATCCATTTCTTTATTTTGTTGGGGGGGGGGGGGTATGTGCCCCCTGTGCCCCTTGTAGCTATTCCACTGCTGTGGCAGCTGAGTAATCTTAGCTTGAGAATGACAGTAATTACATGTATGTCAGTGCCACACACAAATCACTCCCTCATTACCACACTAGAGAATGGTCCTTTGCCTGTGACAAGATGGACAGATGCATTCAAACCGTGAAAGGGAACTCCCATTGAGGCATTCCTTGTATTAAAGGTGAACAGCAGTTGGAGTTACAAAACTTTGTTCATACTAAATAATATTACAACTTTCTGAGTAAATTGTAAAATTTCAGTGACGTGATTCAGCTACAAATGTATAAACAACATGAATGTGAAATATGAATCACTCACACAATTTGCCATTCAACATTTCATGTATGAATAAGTTTCTGTTCTTTTTATAGTGTGTTCATTTTAGTTTCTTTTGGGAGTTTGCTGAAGGATTTGTGAGGAAGTCTTAGTTCATATTTCTCCAGTACCCCAATGGGATAAGCTCATTATCACATTAAAGTGTGAAAGGAGCATATATCTTCTCTCCCTTTTTAAAGCCCCACTGTCCTACTTGTAGCTACTTGGTCCCTCTATATAGAAAACTTCCCCAATCGGTGCCTGTTGGTCCCCCATGATCCTCTTTTTCTTATGTTAGTTGAGAGCTGAATTAATGAGATAGCCACCTGCCAGTGACCTCGCTGTGTGGTCTAATCCCTTCTGGTCCAGTAGTATTGACGGTCTTTAAAGGAGAAACAGACCTTGATGGATAGATTGACTTCAATCAACAACTGTACAACCAGAAACTTTTGATACATGAAACTTTCATGGATCTTTATTAACGGACATTCTTTTGGCAAGTCCCTGTAGCAGAATGAGGTGTGTCATTGTTAAATTCATATGCCATTAAACTGTCTTACATCCACACTCTGCGTCAAATTTACTAATATTTCATGCACACAAATTTAGGCTGACATATCAACGTTAATTCATCATGAAATTTTGAAAAACTGCTTCGAGTGGGAACAAGGTTTTCCCCATCTCCACACTCTTTGTCAAATGAGCAAAGATTTCATCCACACAAAATTTAGGCGTACATGTAAAGCGCTAATTTGTTGTGGCAATGTTTCTTCAAAACGGTTTAATACTCTGTGTGAACAAGGCTTTAGGATAGTCAGGTATGAACTTGCCCTGCGTGGCCTATTAAAAGGACGATGATGTATTATTCATGGGTTCGGCCTTGGTTTAGATGTCACAATGACGGGCTGAGTCATATCGTCGTATAACGCTTCCATGAAAGGGGGATTTCCTCCATAAAATACATTCGCAAGGGGTCGTTAGCATCACTCGTTGGTCTGATCAGCATCCCCATGATGAGCGGAGATAATATATCTAAATTATTCCTCATGTCAATCAGGGTTTGTTAGGTTGGGAGTAATTATATCATTATCCTTCATCATCATGTTAACCTAATGAAAGTACAGTCTATTATCAATTATGACTTGCCGTCATGGTTTTATGGCATTCCTGTACCATTTGGTGGAAGTAAAATAATAATTACTCATTTATGAAAGGAAAATGATATATCAGACTAGAGATATTTAAAGTAAGGTTTTGTTAGAATAGAAGTACATGTACATGGTGGATAGTAAAAAATTTGTTCACTTTTGTTATTTATTTATGTAGGGCCTATGCAAACATGATATTGTAGTCTGTCAAAAATTGATTATTCCTTTTAGTTCCATGTGTAGAAGAGATGGGGATGCTCCTGTAAACATTATTAGTGAAATTCATACATTCACATTTACAGTACGGTACACAACATATAAACATGTACATTTTCTTCCCTTCGGTCCCACATATAGGGGACGGTGATGCGCTCACCATCGGTAATAACATTTTGAAAGACTAGATCAATGTTTATACCGGCTTCGCAGAAAGAAACACAAAAGAGCGATACCGAGCTGAATGTAATCACAGCTTTGAGCATCTGCTATATGCAGAATCCATATTTTTGGAGATGAGCGTCTGCGTGTATCTATTTGCAATGGTGAGAATCTGGCCTGGTATCAGATGAAATCGGATACCACTTGGACTTATCTAATTGGAAACCAAGCTGATTTGCCTCATGTCATGGTCATGACACATTTACTCTTCATGTTAGTTTTGCCTTGTGTATTTTTGTGATCCTGTCTGAGTGAGCACTTCGCTGCTTTGCTTTGTTCAAATTGGCACTTGAAGTACTTAGGATTTGTGTTTGTTTTGATGAGGTCATGTATGGTAGATTCAGGAAGAAATAGATCTTGCCCTTCTTGTTTTGTTTTGTAATGTGAGGACAAGCATGACTACAATTATGTATTCTATCACTATTATCACCATAATGAGAACCATCTTCTTTCCATACTTATCATTTTTGTGATAATAATGGCCATTATCACTTCCATGATCGTGATTATCAAGATGTACTCATCATTACCATCCTCATCACCATCATCGTCATCATCAAATCACCTCCTCCTTCTCCTCCCCCACCTCCTCCTCCTCTTCCTCCTCCTCCTCCTCTTCTTCCTCCTCCTCCTCCTCCTCCTCCTCCTCCTCCTCCTCCTCCTCCTCCTCCTCCTCACCATCATCATTGCCATCTTCATTTCCTTTATCCTCACCATCACCATTATTGTTATCAGCATCTTTTTTTCTTATATTTCTTATATTATCATTATACCAATATCATTCTAAAGGCTACATACATCTTCTTCAGAGACCTGCATTCAATAAATTTTACAATGACATACACAGTCATATAGTCACCCATTACCATGTAACTATACATCAATGCAAGTGTTGTCATCGAAGCAAGATATTATTTCCCCTTTTCAGAGTTTGATTCCAAAGACTATACCACCTTGTGATTGCCATCACACACACCTCACTATAACTATATCAGCCTGCCATACTCTCTCTCTCTCCCTTTTGTACACCTGTTACCATGGTAACCGATGACTCATCCAGGTTGAGAATGAGATAAACAGTTTGAATCGCACACCAGGCAATTCTGGAGGATTCATCATCTCCTTGATTTGGTGTCCCAAGTTCTAATTCTTTTCTTGTAAGGGAGGAGATGTAGGCAGGGAGAGGAAGAGAAAAAAACCGAAAGAGGTGTAGAAAGTGAGAGAGTGGTTAGAAGATGGATGAGAGCTGGGGAGACAGGAAAGAGGGGAAAGGGAGAGAGAGAGAGAGAGAGAGAGAGAGAGAGAGAGAGAGAGAGAGAGAGAGAGACAAAGATGGACAGACAAGACATAGAAAAATGAGAAGGAAAAAGAGACAGAAACGAACGAAACTGGATTTGCAGGTGAAGAGCGGAAGATAATAATAATAATAGAGAATATTTATTAAATGCTGATAGAAGATGCTGGAAAGTAAAAAAGTGAGAGAAAGATAGAAACAGAAAGATACTTGGAGAGGGGGGAGCGTGAGAGAAAAGATGAATGATAAAAGGGTGAAAATGAGAGTGAAAGAGAGAGAAATTGAGATAGAAAGTGAGAGAGAGAGAGAGAGAGAGGGGGGGGGGGGAGAGAAAGGAACATCCTGATGGATAAGAAAAGTTGAAAGACCCTACCGAGTCCAATGAATACTGAATCATTTGTTCTCCCAGCCATTCTCTTTTGTTCTGATGGCAAGTGAAGTATGGTTTTGTATGTGTCACCAATCAGTCCTCATTTAAGACATCAGTTTCTGTTAAACGTAATCAGCTTTGCTTGCTTCTATCCATTTATGCATGGACCATGTCTTACGTATTTCACTGATTGCTATATGATGAGGTAGAGCAGACTACAAATCCCATTAAGAGCCAGAAGGGCATTAACTTCATGTAGAACAATATTATTTAATGCCCTTTTGGCTATCGGCTTTTGACAAAGGGGTTTACTGCCCGCTCGATTGTAACAAAATGGGAGTACATGTTGATTAATTTTGAACAATTTCTATGTGTGCTTTTGCATGACATGAACATGATGTAAGGAACTTGTACAAATATTTGGTTGAGCTACGATGATTACGATGATGCTACCCATGAGCTTCACCTGGGTGTAAAGTGGCAAATTTAGATTAAATGTCTTGCCAGAGGACATTATTGCTGTGACAGGGGCTTGAACCCAGTAGTGATTCACTGTCCACTAACTTATCCTTTAGACCCTGACTTCCCAATAAGAAATATATTAATTAATTTCTTTGTTTATCTAATCTAAAGTGAATTTTAATTACCAAATTACTTGAATTATAAATTGCATGTGTAATGAAGTTCAATTTGCTGCATACAGCTCTATGAGTCATTTCTATGCAAACTCCGGTAATACATGTAGCGTTGAAAACACAGCTGATTTTTAAGAAACCGAATGATGACCACCGTGATGAATCATAAGTATGCCTTATTGTATGTGTGTCAACTCATCTAGCTGTGCAGAATCCAATTATCCATCAAGCTATTCAAACATTTTTTTCCTCATGTTTATTTTTCTAGATGCCATGACGATGCTTGGTAACCGAATGGATGGCACCCTAAACATCGAGACCTTCCTCCTCACCCTGGAAATTGAGATATCCAACGGCATCATGAATATGCAAAACAACGGCCTCTCGATATCAACAAAGGTAAGAAAAGTGTCAAATAGCAAAGTCACCTGACCAGCCACCTGATTAGTCAGGTCATCAGGCGATAATGTATGGATAATAGATAATCAGGTGCGAAAGCATATGCAAGGAAAAGCAAAATAACATGTACGTAGCTAGAGATAATGTGGCTACGACACAGGTGGTAGGATGATTTCTGTGCATTACGACCAGACTAATTACCAAGAGGACTGTCATGCTCGTTAGCGAAATCAACTCATAAAATGCCAAGATAAGCTAGGGCACCAAAGGAAAGCTAATTTGGGGTGCTGTGACAGGCTTTGAGGACCATTTCTCCAGGCTTTTGATTCGTCAAAGATACAGGGATAATGTAAGGGTTGTAATCGAGTTGTAGGTTAGGCTTAGAGTTAGGTTCAGAGTTGGGGTTAGAATTAGGTATGGTTATAGTGTTGGGTCAAGGGTTTAAGTTAGGATTTTCGTTAGTATAGAAATTCAATGTTGGTCGTGGAGCAGTAACATGAAATCATCCAATTATATATTCCTACAGACCATATGTTCTTTTTGTTAATACATGCTTCTCAGACCCATATGTTAGTCATTAATGATTCTGAGATCCCAATAAGAATGTTTTCTAGTATGATTTCAGCCCCCAACAAAGGAAACCACATTTGACATGCCTAAGTGTCTCTGGCTCCCATCGTCTTGTACCTTACCCCCCCCCCCCCCCCCCTTTCTTTTTTCTTCAGGATAATTTAAAAGATAATCTGAATTTCTATCATGAAAGTGCTTTTCACATGAAAACACTCTGAAAAACTATAGGACACTAATTGTCTTCATATATTATTTGGGCTCTCTGGATCAGTAAAATAAGAAGATAAAATGCATGTTGCTTCTTTAATCAGGTGACTTCACCAGGTTTAACATAGTCTTATCTTTGTGAATATAATCCTAAATCTAGATTCATCATTTTTATTTGTCTTTAAGAAAATGTTGTTCACACCATTATCAGAACTTGCGAGAACATTTAAAGCATCAACATGTAGGGAAGACAAATGATAACTAGAACTTGTGTCAACCTTGAAAGCTACAATATTTAGGAAAGTAAAGAGAACGTAGACAACCTTTAAAGCAACAATACTTATGAAAGAGGAGAAAAAAAAGATACAGGGACTTATGACAACCTTTAAAGCTACAATATTCAGGAAAGTAAAGAGAACTTAAACAACCTTTAAAGCAACAACACATATGAAAGAGGAGAAAAAAGGATACAAGGACTTATGACAACCTTTAAAGCTACAATATTCAGGAAAGTAAAGAGAACTTAAACAACCTTTAAAGCAACAACACATAGGAAAGAGGAGAAGAAAAAGGATACAAGGACTTGTGACAACCTTTAAAGCTACAATATTTAGGAGAACCCATGGCAACCTTTAAATTAAAAATTTGTGGGAAAGAGGATGAACTAAGATTACTAGAACTCGTGGAAACTTTTAACTTTAAGCAACAGCAACAGGAAATACAACGGAAACAAAAATGCTTGACAACCTTTAAAGTAGGAAGGAGGAAAGACAAAGGATACAATCTATTTCCTGGCAGTCTCGTGGACAATCTGGTTTTGATCGGTATAGACCGATGAAGCATAATTATGCCCATGATTGACAGGGTCTGGAAAGAAAGAAAGTACAAAGGGAAGGCTTGGATTTGATTAAGGGTGAAGAAGTTTCAAGTACAACTGTTTTTGTTCGAATCACATTAGGCCTGTCTCATCAGCCCGAGATTGCCACATAGCCTGCTATTTCTGATTTGGGGAATAAGCTACAAATAAGTTACAAATCGCGTCTTCATCTTCATCACCTCAGAACTCAAAACTTGAGCTCGAGATATTTTACTCAGCGCATAGTGCGAGTCTTCGGGCTAGTGAAGACGCACCGGACAAATAGCATTATATTTTGCAAACTAGCCCAAGATATCTCAGGATATTTTCTCGACCAAATATCCCGCTAATTGCAACTGTGGGCTGATGAGGACGCAAATTAACCGGCTAATTTGCGATCGGGATAGTTAAAATAGCGAGTTAGTTGGCAATCTCGAGCTGATGAGGACAGGCCTATTGTTGATGTCTGGGTCTGGAGAAAAAGAAAATAGTTTAGATATGTCACAAAGACTAGGTCATGTGTGGCATCCAGATATCTGAGGATTATAATTAATCTTGATTGTAATGAAATGATTTTCAAGCTCCAAGTTTATTTCCCACAATCCATTACAAATGAATCACCAACAAAAGCACTACATAAAAACCAATGACATACAATACTTAATTATATTAAGAATTAATAACTTTACACTACAACATACATTGTTTTTAAGTCACTTTAGTTCCCTTTTTTATTCAATCCAAATCTTAGATGTACATGTAACTGAAATGAAAGAAATGGAAAAGATAAATTTCTATTTTTTAAAATATGAGAAGAGAAGATAATTACTTAATTTAGAGCTGTACCTGTATTTAAAAAACCTAGTCTGAAGCTTGATATTGAAGACGTAATTTGACCCTGGCCAGACAGATGACCACTGATTGACCATTCAACCAAAGAATGGAAGTCAACCTTGAGGCCAGGACAGCCCATTGTCCAAAATCTTGACCAGTTGGGTTGAAAGTCCACACAAGAGGTCATTGACCTTTTACAGGTATACACAGTCTCTTGGATTTCCTCTTCTCACTACATTATTAGCTTACCACTCAATATCAGGTTCAGAAGTTTTTTCAGAGATAAAGATCGGTAGCTGTCTAGTTCCTTTCCAATTTTTGTTATGATGATGATGATGATAGGTTCTTGATAGCCATAACAAACTCTGCGAGAGATGGAGTCCAATTTCATATATGCCATGGTAAATTATCTCATAAAACTGCTGTCACAAAATGGAACTTATGTTACACGTTATGATAGCAAGTAGAGGTTAAAAGAGAGAAGCATGTCGCAAACAAAGGCACCAAAGTATAGTATAGTATTAATGACTGCTTTGAGAGAAATAGTTGTTTTATTACGCTCAAGGGAAGGTTAGAATTGTGCTATTCCCCGAGGCTTGCCGAGGGGAATAGCCCAATTGTAACCTTCCCGAGAGCGTATGAAAACAACTATTTCTCGAATATTAAAGCAGTCATTAATACTTTTATATGCCGAAAAAAAATAGACTAAAAAATGAAAAATTAAAGATATTTATCATTTTTGTCGAAGACGGGATTCGAACCCGTGCGTACAACAAGAGGTGTACCGAAAACCAACGCTTAGACCACTCGGCTATGGCCCGCCGTTAACATGCTTGGCAGTTTTCTCCAATATATACATTAAAATGGATTGAAACCGGCTTCGCGTGTGATGAATGCTTCGCAAAAGCTCCATATACGGACTCTTCTATTACTTTTGCAATGCATATTGGCACGAACTTAGATCAAGATCTATCGGCAGATGTTGTTTTTTTTGTTTTTGGAAGTTTATTTTCGTCTTCATGTCAACAATGCAAGATAAAATTGTCGGTAAGATCGATCGAGATTCAATTGTATTGAAATTACCGACCAATCCTTCGCACACATACGGCATCCTCCATCGCTCAAACCATTTTTTAACATGTAAACCTATGGGGTAACCATGGAGGCTGACCAACTATTTTTAATAACCATGGTTATTAAAAATATTGAAATGTTTATGCATGGTTACCGAGAATTTTACAGGAACAGTTGAAGTTTATGAATGCAATTCGACCAATCAGATGGCTGGATTTCTTAAGTGAGGTATATAATTAATTATGTATTATATTATGTGTGTTGTATAAGATACAGAAATTTGATGGGCACCAAAAATATGCCATTTAATGAATAGTGGCTTATTTCACAAGAAGGCCCTAAATTGTTAAAGAGTTAGAATTACCATTAGTTTGGAGGATGTATAGTTTCACTCATGTCTGTCTTGTATGCTGCGATTGATCTCTTTAACGTTGCGAGGCTGTGTGTTTTATCCCTTCAAACCTGTTGTACTGTATGTTCAGTCGTGAAGTATGGATAATGTACTACCAGTATGTTTAATGTTGGCAGTTTTGAAAGGGGACTTAGAACATGATTTAGAGATGGAGAAATCCAAACTGGGTGAGGAACAATAAGCAAGAAGAGAATAAGACTCTGGCGACCTTTGACCCCTACACCCTCGGAGCCATAGAGGGAAATCCTACCACAGCATTCTGTTTGGGCTATTGTCCCATCCAAAATATTTGTAATCTTTCCACACCGCCGAGTGCTCTGCCTACTCCGTTTTAGGAGCCTTTGTGGCTTTTGTGCCCGCGCACAAAGGCAAAAGAAAATCGGCAGGTTCAATTTTGACGAGACGTGTCAGAGTTGACAATTGGGGTGCCCCTCAACTTGATCGATTCTGCTCAGCTCGGTTCACCCAAAACTGTGCCCGCCAGTGTCGAAACGAAATTGACTCCCTTCGAAAACATTGAGGCACCCTTTTTTCTTATTTTTATTTTCTCTCTCCATGTTTCATGGTTTGTTTTCTCTTTCTGTCTCTCTTTCTGCCTCTCTCTCTCTCTCTCTCTTTCTCTCGCTCTCTCTCTCTCTCTCTATTTGTCTGTTTGTCTGTCTGTTTCTCCCTCTCTCTCTTTCTCTCTCTCTCTCTCTCTCTCTCTCTCTCTTTCTCTGTCTCTCTCTGTCTCTCTCTCTCTCTATTTGTCTGTTTGTCTGTCTATTTCTCCCTCTCTCTCTCTCTCTCTATTACTTTCTCCATCTTTCTTTCCCCATTTTCTCTCTCTCTCTCTCCCTCTCTTGAAACCTGAATAAAAGCAGAGTTGGATGGCAGGGGAAATGGGGCTGTTCTTGAATGCAGTGTATTGTGATGCGTGATTATAGAAAGACCTATTTCTGCTCAACAAAATGGGGTAGTTGAATCATAGTCCATGGTTGAATCAAAACTCTAGTAATTCTAGATGTTTATTCCTGTCTTTTCCCCAAGGGGGATTGTCTGGGGACAATTAGGGCAGGTGAGAAAAGGAGGGAATGAGAAAAAAGGGGGAGGAGGAGGGGGTGGAAGAAGGAGTTCCAAAGCAGACCTGACATTCTTCAGGTGCTCCAAGAGATTGCTGATTTTCAAAGCTGATTACTCGTCAATCAGTTCTTTAGTAATTTGTTTTTATCCTGTGGCTATGAGTCTGTGAAATCATAAAATAAGGAAGATAAATTGTTTACAAAATATGAAACTATGCCCCCCCCCCCCCTCCTGATCTACAAATGCTGCAGTACATCAGAATACAAAAAGGAGAGAAGGGAAGGAGAAAGAGAGAAAGATACAAGTGGTAGACATTAAATGTGTATTTTGAGTTAACAAAGTAGGTATTATACTAATGTCAAAGACATAGGCAGAGTATAAGTGGGGAAAGGAGAGAGAGAGAGAAGGGAGAGGGGAAAGAAGATAGAGAGAGAGAGGGAGAGAGAGAGAGAGAAGGGAGAGGGGAAAGAAGATAGAGAGAGAGAGAGAGAGAGAGAGAGAGAGAGAGAGAGAGAGCAGGAGCGAGCGATGAAAAGAAATTCAATTCCTGTACCCCGCTAATTCAATGCTGCCTGTCACGACATATACTCATGTACATGTGTGGTGGAATTTTGAATTAGGCTGATGTTGGTCTCGTAGGGGTTAAATCTTCCAACATCCCTCCTCACCTCATTCCCAAGGCGATATATTACACCTACTGTTATTTGTACCCTGCTTTTGCTTAGGAAGAGGAAGAAGGAGAAATCAAAAGAAAGAGAGAGGGAAAAAACAAACATGTTCACATGGAAGATGGAGGAAGCTTGCTCGAAGCTGTGCTCATGTAAAGTACATGTAATGCAAAGCACAGCTCCTATATGTTACGAATCCTCTAAAAATAATACTGATAAAACAGTTTTAAGGTTTAAGTTTTAAGAATAAAATTGGCCCATTGGTATATATGGACAAAGGGGGTTAATAAAAGGTACCTTGCATGATTTTCACATTTGACATGTCCACATATGTTTAGAACCACTTGTATCACAGGTCCCAATACACACACATTTGTTAAGAACAAAAGATGCTGGAATCAATTTATTACCCCAAAATAACTTCACCAACGTCATACATGGGCCATCTAGTCATCTTCTCTTAGGCAGGCCGAGGGCCTCCTTCAATTTATCAGCATGTCCATTTAGCGGTAGACCTATATTTTTGTGTCTGTATACCTATCCATATCACAAGTTATTTGATATATTTGGGGGGAAAATTGGATTGTATAGGGAAGTGGCTCTGGGGCAGAAAGACATTGGGATATGCGGCATACCAACAGAAATGGTAATGGGGGTCGTAAGGTCACCTGCGATAACCAAATAGAATTTGTTGTATTTACTGTAGATGGCAAAGGGCTTAATCGGAAATGAAGATCTCAAACACTGGTCTTGCATGGCATAGCGCGTTGGTTGAATGGTAAAGGTTTTTCAGTTTTTCTTTCTTTCTTCTTTCCTCTCTATTTTCTTGATTTCTTTTTGAGTTTACTTTTAAATGTTCATGATAACAAACAAATGTTGTGGGAAACATACTGAATAAAAAAATGTACAGGCCGTTGGCCCAACTATTAAAAAAAGGGTCAAACAGATCATGTAGTCCCATATGTGGATATAAATGTGTGTACCTATGTTGGTGCTGTTTTAGTGAATATTTGTTGGTCAAATCAACTCATTTCACGATTAACGTACAAGTAGGCCATCAACTTCGTACGTTAATAGATGCTGCCTTCTGAATCAATAACATACATTCTCTTCAAAGTTTACTACGACTTTCACTAAAAAAATTGTAAAATAAACAAACATCTGTCTTCATCTCCTAAAAAATGGCACCCTCTGGTAGAAATATCTTCTTTGTTGTCAATCTCCTGTTCTCCCAAATTTCCAGTTTTCCCAAATTTGATAGATTACAAGAGGTGAAAGGGGAGGATGGGGGAACGCAGTTCCTGCTACCTGCCAGAATTGAACTCAACAGCGTGACATTACATTAGCGTCTTTGTAGGGGGTGCGTAGTGTCTGCCAATGTTCGCTGTCATTTCTATGGCAACCTGGACCAAGACCCCTTCTGATCCCGAAAATCGATGGGGATAATTCAGGCCATCTTTCCTTTCGCAGGCATCCACTATTTTTCTTCGTTGGTTTATAAATCTGACGTACTGTAACTGTACGACAGTTCATAAAAGCATGTCAGCGTATTTTGCATTGATTATTATAAGGAAGTCGTTTATTAATTTTTTTGATGAGATTTTGACATTGTGAAACAAAACTTGCTTGATGCGTACCTGTATTTACCACAAGATTATTGGTGAATATGTTTTTTTGTTTTATTTTTCTTTGTTCTGCGTTTTTGTTGTCCCTCCATCCAAATTCCTCTCTCATGTTCCACATAACTGGAAAATCTAATAAATGTTGAAAAACTTGCCTTGAAGTCGGGCACAATTTTCACACCACAGTGTTTTGAAAAACAGTTTTGGTAAAAGGCCGAAGCAGTAAGATTCCAGCCAATTTTTATCCTTGAACATGTTATAAAAGCTTGACACCTCATTCCTTTTGCCTCTCACCAGTTCAGAGAACGATATAAAATTACAAGCATTGAAAAATCTACAGACGTGTCAAATGAGTCTGGATAGAACCTATCGTTTGATTTGGACTCCAAAGTCTGTCCGATGTACGTGAACGGAGAAGTGTTGCGTGGGCTATTGTTGAACATACATAGATTTGATCATGATATGCTACTTGATATGAAATGTCAACAACGTGTACTGATTTGCACTCCAACTGAATCAACACAAGTTTCTCTTAATACTGTCTTCCTCTTTCTTTAAGTCTATCTCTTGTTATCTTTCTTTAACTTATTGAAACTATTTTCCCCCTTTCTTTTTCTCTCTTTCTTTTTCTCTCCATTTCTTTATTTCTCTTTTTCTTTCTCTATCTCTCTATTTCTTTCTCGCAATGTGCAGATTACATTTCTATACAAGATGTATCTGTCTGTGTTTGTCTCTCTCTCTCTCTCTCTCTCTCCCCCCCCCCCCCTCCCTCCCTCGTCGTTCTTTCTCTCTTGCTCTCTGAGTAGACCTGTTGCTTGGACATCACTGTTAGTGTTATTGGAAAACAATTTTGTCTATTGGGGAAAATGAGTATGGTAAAACCGGTCACTCACAGACATTTTACTATTTTGACGCACTTCATGATCATTTTGAAGCGCCATTTTTGTAGGGCTTCAATATTACACCATATCACAGACACTGATAACACGTAGGGCCATGCATCTCAGATTTTACATTGTTAAACGATGCCTTTAAGGGTTACATGGTTAGGCCCCATAGGGCCAGGGGGCTGGCATCTGTTTGTGAAATAAATCACATAATTGCTGGGCCACCTGTTTGTGTTATTGTAGCCCTTGCTGACATGAGGCCGAACATGGAATTTTGTTTTGCACCAACCCTCAAACCTAATAATGAGACCAATTTATGGGGTATTCAGCTTGTCACATCACAGATGCGCAGAGATGTCTCTAGTTTAAACAATACCCACCTGCTGCTCTCATATATCTTCAAGAAATATTTTGGAACATCACGTGTTGGGGGGGGGGGGGATAAGAAACTATTAGGTTCATGGAGTAACATCATGTTTGACAGCAGGTCGTTTTTCTCTGAACAAAAATTACATTTTTATATTTATCTACATTAGACGTGTAAGAACCAGATGGGTATTGATAGACATTGACATCAGCTCTATCTACCCGATGTATTTATTTGTCATCTTCTATTTACTAATATTGCCTCACATTCAAACTGATGATTTCTTGCAATTTGTTTAATAGTCAAGTGACATTCAGGATTTTGACTAAGTTTGGAGTCTACTGAAACTACAAATACTGTGATTGAGCTCATTCTTTATATAATTTCAATTTTCAGTCTTGGCAAACGGTTGTATGACAATGCCCTTACAACAATTGTTCAGCAATAAATATCCTAAAACCTTGGATTCTACACTATACCATAGCTCAGCCTTAACCTGTTAACTTAATCCAGAACCTACTTGCAGACCCTAACCTTAGCCCTATTTTATTGACAAAGTAAAGCCTGGAGTAACTGCTACAAGCGCATGTGTGGGGGACAACCTGCCAAATATATATCTTAAAGAATTTTGGTAATGAGAGAAATTAACAAGTAAAAACCAAAAAATAACATCTTTGTTTTTTTCTATTTTCGCCCTTTTAACCAGGTTTTCAATGGGTGTGGGGTTCCGGCTTTGGGAAGGAAGCGTAGGGAGTCCAATCCGCTTGGAGCCGGCGTGTCGCAGCCTGCTGCCCCCGCCGCCCCCGCTGACGAGGACCTCATGATGGAGGATGACGGGGAGATGGTCACGGAAGCTCCAACGGCTGCTGAAGGACCGTCGACGAAGGTCCAGAAGACCAAGGGCAACGCTACCGAAACTACATCGGCAGGGCTGAACGGAAGACAAGGGAGAAGGCAGGGAGAAAGAGCGGTAAGTAGACTTGGCCAGATGCAAAGGTTCAAAGTAGAGAGTCTGAACAGTACACTTTTGTTTTTGAAGGCTTCTGCTTACAGGGTTTCTGCAGTCATGGTAGTTTTGATGCCATGATGAGTCATGAAAAATTTAAAAATTTCTAAAAGTCATGAAAATGTTATGAAAATAATGCATTATTCATGTATTATAAAAGTTATGTATGATTTCGGTAGTGAGTTGTGTTACACAACATATCATGAACTTGCATAACAGGACTCTTTCCTGTGACCTGTATACTTCATTACACTTCATGCATCTTATTCCAACCATTTTCCCCATCTCTCTACTCCTCGAGCAGAGTGGCTACAGGTACCCCGCCCCGACCACGGCTGCTGGGACCAACCTGGACCGTCTCATCAAGGATGTCCTCAAGAGGCTACGGGACAGTCGCCCCTTCTGGTCGGCGCTGCCCTACATGATTTGCGACGACACCAACATCGCAGAGGAAGTGACGTCGACAGCGGAGGACAACTGTTGGAACGGAGAAAGAGTTGGGAGGTGAGAGTTCACACCATCACATTGTAAAAACTACATGTGCGCTATGGTCTTTGGACTCATCTACCAAGAGGCAGGGTTGATCCAACAGATGCTTTGGCAAAATTTTTAACTTGGCTTGTTTTCGTCAAAGACCTATGATTAGGGTTAAGGTTACAGTTGAAATTTGGGTTAGGTTTAGGATTATGGTTAGGGTAAGGTATGCGTAGGTCCAGTGTTGTAGAGAATTCAGTTTGCATAGGACATTGACTGCAATTTCATCTGGAGCACATGTTGTTTTGTACAATTTTGAAGATCAGAAGGGCACTTTATAGAGTCAGTGCAGTGGCTCTTGGCGCACAAGTCTGATTCTTTTGATTTCGAAATTTATAAATAGCATAAGTTGGTTCAGTTGAGAGCATCTGCCTGTCGATAGAGTATTGGGTCCAAATCCAACCCAGGTGGATGCTGACTATAAAGCCTCTGTTGTTTCTTAACATTTCCTTTCCCTGTTTCATAAGAAACAGGCTAGGTAATAATGGAAAGCACGCTGTCCCTCAGATAGGATGTTAACAGGAGGTCCTGTGTTGTGGAAAGTCACTACCTATGTACTTCACCGGGGGTTCACATAATTTCCCCTACTTTTGAATATCTCTTTGAAATGTTTCTTGAGAAATCTTTCTGATGATTAACCTGATTGTGTTTGTCGCCCTCACAGGTACGAGCTGGACATTGTCGGGAGTGGCATTGCCAACCAGAGGAATAATCCCGAGGTGACCGTCATGTTGACCAAACCCGTCGCAGCCATCAGGATACAAAAAGAGAGACTAGAGACAATCACTGATATATTACAACTCGCACAAAACGGAGACGATGTTCCTTTCGTTGATCACCGTAAGTAATCGGATATTCCGAGGGGTTAGAAAAGATGGCTATTAAAGGCCCACTGTACTACTTGTAGTTACTTGCTCCCTCTATATAGAAAACAAAGCCTAAGCGGTACCCGTTGGTCCCCCATGATCCTCTTTTTCTTATGTTTACTGAGAGCTGAGTTGCCGACCACGCTGTGTGGTCTCATCCCTACTGGCCTTTAAATGTTCAAGAAACAAGTATTATTGCACATATTGTCTTGAAATTTGATTTTAAAGAAAGAACAAATGCTTGTCTGTGTGGTCAAAATATTAAACAGCCCTCTTAAGTAACAAGTTGTAAGGCCTATATTGCAAACAAGTTTGGTTTACAGCAGAACAACAGAACAAGAAGTGGAAAAGGCACATTACTGTCCATCCCTTTACCAAGATTTCAAGATGTTTTAATTTCTTTTCTTTTTGTTTTGTCCATCCCCCCCCCCCCCCCCTACATCTCAATTCTTCCTCCCTCTGTCATCCCCCTTTTCCAAATACAGAGGGTCTAGAAGACGGGAGCGGTTCGGGAAGCGGCAGTGGGTCCGGTGACGGTGGAACGGACCCCGGCGAAAACCTCTTTCCTTTCAGCACCGAATTCGAGGATCCCATCTACCGTCCGACAAGACTGCCCTCGGGGGCATCGTCCATCCACAGAGTCACGTCGCTTCTCCTCGCCGTTGTCATGGCAACGGTCACGTCCCTCCTCAGATGGTGATAGTTCCCAAACTTTATTTTTCTACCATCCTCTTGATTTTGTATGTTTTTATTCGGACTCCTTACGAAAAGTCTCGACTTCCAAAAGCTGCAGGTTTCTATTCGATGATCTCACCTCTGACCCGACTTCCCGAGATCGTAAGATCGCACGAGAGAGAGAGAGAGGGGGAGAGGAGTGAATCAACCAAAACAGTAACTCCAGACAATCCGAGGAAGAAAAGAAAAACACTGCATTTTTTGTTGGCTGCAACTTTTCTTAAGGTGCCTTATATTATTGTCTGTTCTCATTTTCCAGTGTATTGTTATTTGAACGTTGAGAGACAGAAATTTTTAATTTGTGAAGTTGTATTTTAAACACTTGCATATCCTCAAACTTCGTTTGGACAGAAATATTGTGTGGATTTCATGTGATGGATTACAAAGACAAACTATGCCCAGAGCATAGGTTAATCTACCCTAAAAATAGTACTAATAAAATGTTTGTTCGTAAGGATGTACATTTTGAGAATCCTGTGCCGTTTTTTTTAAATCTATGCATGCTACAATCAAACTCACATTGGAAGAGACAAGTGTTGTACATGTATGAATATATCAAAATGGCATGTATTCAACCAAGGAATAGCACAGGACATAAAATCAGTTGGTCTTCCAAGGTACGATACTATCCTTTGGTAAGATGACCCCCCCCCCCCCCCCCCCCCCCCCCCCCCCCCCCCGCCCCTCCCCCTCAAGTAAATTTTTCACTTTACTAAAGAGGCTGGGAATTATGAGGGTAAATTCCGTATGAAGAAAACAAATCTTACAAAAGACTGCCTTTTCACACCGTAAACTTTTGGCATTATACACATGCAATGTTTTAAACTTGATCTTGTGTGGAATTCCTGTTCCTGATTTCATGATAGTAACTCCCGCCCCCCCCCCCCTCTTTATTCCCCCTCCCCCCCCCAAAAAAAAACCCCAGAGAAAGAGATAAGATAACAAACTGCAGAGATACAATCATAAGATATGTATGTAAATGAGATAAAAAGCCAATACAGTACTGCACCCAATTGGACCGATATTCCAAAGATATATGTCATTTTAATTGTATCTTTCCTGACCACATGCTCCCCTGAATATTTATTCATGTCATAAATCCTGGAATAATATGGACCAAAAACAAATTTCAGCTTCATGGTATATGTGGTTGCCCAAACAGATAGATCCCTGCTATTGTAATTTTAAAAGAAGAAAACTTCTGCCCCTCAACACCTCAACATGTGCATCTAACAACCATCTGGTTTATAAGTTTTTGTGCAGAGTTTTTAAAGCTAAAAAGAAGCATTGTAACATACAGCATTGCTAATATCCCAAATCTAGTTATCGTAGCGAGGCTTACAACTTTTACTTCATTTGTCATCTTTCTTCACCACAATAATCCACCTCCATCAATTGTTCAATTTGTAAAGAATTATATGTCTTTTTTTTTTATAGGCAGTATTCTGTCCACTGTATCTGTTTTTAGCCCCTTTTGTAGGTGTTTCTTTAATATTCATCTGTTTTTATTTCAATCAGAAATTTGTACAGATTAAATAGAAATGCTTTTGATTATATGTACTACAAAAATAGGTTATGTGAAGTTAGTCTTTTTATGAGCTGGGTGTACAAATTTGATGTCTTGAAATTGTTTGAACTTCTTCTATTTGCCAATTTTTCAAAGAGAATGAGAAAATATTTGAAAAAAAAGAGACATACATGTATGAATAATTCGTACAAATTGCAGACAACTGTATCGACTTGCTCTCGTGTGTGGGGGAGACAATCATGTGCTAAGCTAACCGCATAGAACAGAAAATAAGCCAACATTGTTGCATACTGAATTTTGTGAGTTGTTTCACCATAAATAATTGAGGCTACCTAAAATTCATGTCCAGTCATGCATTGGCGGCGCATTTTCTCGTGTTGAATTGGCAACACTATACAAGTATCTGCAAAAATCATGAAAAGGAAACCCTCTCAAAGTCAATGGCTTGTAGAGTAAACGTACATATATTGTCTGCAATTGGTATGAATTTATTGGGCACAAGAGGTGGACGAGAAAAAAAAAGCTTTTTATATGCAGTTAGTAATTCTATAGCAAAAGAGATGATGATGATGCGGTGCCAATTTTCTACAACTGATCAGCGAAAACATGTGACGGTATTGCTGCATTGTTACAATGCCGTCTGATGTTAGATTGTGACGTGAACCATTCAAGGTTTGCTTAAAATTGTTGACCCTTCTCCACCCGAAAATCAGTGCTGATATTTTTATGCAAACCTATTTTAAGGACCATTTCAATATTTGCATCCACGGTATATATTTCTATACATATTTATCCATGTACAAGCTTTGTCGAATTGTCAATCTTCATGCACAACTTTAAGAAAATATTGTATGATACGTTGTGATAGATAACAGTAACATTTGATTTTCAAAAAAAATTGTATGATACATTGTAGTTATGAAATAATGATCAGGTTTTGCGATTAGCACCACATTTTTGTAAAGAATATATGATAATTTTTAATTAATGATCCAGCTGATCTCTGAGAATAGGTAACAATAGACAAGAGAATCGGTATGGTAAATTTGTGAATATTATGATGATTGCCAAATTTGAAAGCATTATCGGTAGAGTGTGACATTCGATAAGGTAGGACATTATTTATTCAGTCGTGCAGAAAATAAGACTTCCCTCAAATGCGTAATAAGAAGTAATATCTAACATTCTCCTCATGTTTTTACATATTTTTAACGTTTTTGAATGACAATTGGGGTAGTTGCTTCAGATGACAAATACGATCAATTATCTACATAGAAACTTATGCTGAGTTAGGTTTATTTGAAACATTTTACTGCAAAGTCTAGCAAAAATCTTAAATTAACCCAACAAATCTTGAAGATAGAAAAGATAAACATCATGAGTTTATGTGTAGTGTTGTAGTGTAAAACAGAATGGTCCCAGTTCAACCCGATACAGGATTTAAACCAGTATAAAGTCAAATTTAACAGAGAAAATAAGACTTAAGGGTTAAGTTTTCCTTTTGTTTAACATGACTTTATTCCTTGTGTGAGGGTTAACTGAACCTAGTACAATATGGACCCATGGGTTTAAATTTGTGATTCGGTAGAAGCTAAATGTAATTTAGTCCTTTCCAGAGGTTTAGATTCTTACATATATTTCTTTTGGTGCTTCTATTTTGTCATGCATTACTCTTGAAGCATTCTTTTACAACCATTTCTTTTAAGAATTGAACGATCTTGAAAAATGATAGTAAGATAGTATAGTTGAAGCACTCCAGATACTGCCCATTCAATTTGTATCAGATTTGTTATTCAGATTTACACCAAGTTTTGCAAACGTACACCTATCGTAAATGCATCAAACAGAAAAAAGTTTGTTTATTTTACGCCTTTAATACTCTGCAGTTGAGTTGATCTTTTTAGTTGTTGTAGCTGCATTTATTGAACTTTTTGTATGGACACTTCTTCTTTGCCATGACTTTGTACAAGTTGGGTAAAATATATTTATTTCAAGCAGTAACTTTAGATTTAAGATATTACGACAATTTTTCACAATCTAAAATGATACAGCTTTAAATGTAGAACATTTCTGCTCAGAACTATGTATGTATGTAAGTATGTATGTATGATATAACATTGTATGCTTTTATTTTGAAAGGTGTCATTTCTCAGCACCTATTTTGTACATAAAACTTGAAAGCGTTAATAATGAGAGAGGATAAAAGACTGGTGAGAAAGTCCAAAGTGTACAAAGCTAATCTGCTATATAGTGTATCGTGAAGCGACAACAAACCGTCTGAATGTATAGCTGATTTTATGTTGTCGTGGTGATCGTTCAACCGGGACAAGGCTGTAGATTTCAATTGATTGTAAAACAAAAAAAAACATGGCGTGTTAGTGCTTGAGGATGCGAAAGAGAAAACTAGGAGTTGCTTTCTGATTGAAGCATCTCTGATAGAACTCGGAGGGAGACAAATGACGAAGTTTATTATTCTGGGGCAGTCATTTTAAATGTGTTTTTAACATATTCTTGTGTTTTTTTGTGACTCTGTAAATTTCTCTTTTCCACCCTGTAATCATTTGCATCTGGCATTATACTCTCTTTTTTTCTCCAAACATATGTTAGTCTGTTATTCTTGTGTATAAGGAGAAAGTTTTTGTAGAAGCATAGCTGAGTGACGCGCTGTTAGAATACCTCAAAAACTGAGCAGAATTTCTCTGCCATATAGACTCTCAAGTTATTAACTTATCATATCTATTTATTTGATCTTTTGATTTATTTGGGTACTATTTTTAATTTGATTTTTCATATTTATACACTTAAATACACTTAAATTCTGTAGGGACTCATGACAATTCTCTTTCAGAGACTAAAATAAATCATAGAATTTGTTTATTCCTTCTAAAGCAGTAATATTCATGATGAAAGAAAGTTGCAAGCAGCATTCTAATATCATCTTTGTCATTGAAAACAGATTTTTTTTTTTAAACTCTCCACAATATCTGATATTTATTTCCATTAGATTTTATTTCAATATTATTCAATTTTCTGCTTTTGACAATTCAGTGCTTGTCAGATACATGTATATGTAAAGATAGAAACAGAGCTTGAACAGTATTTCTAGAGAAGAATTCAGGAGAAAAATAGTAAGTTTAGAGGAAAACACAGTATTACTTATTTCATTTTCTTTTAGATAAGGTATCTTATCCTTTTCTCCCACTAATGCCTGAACATCACTGAAAGCTTGTTGAAATTTGAATATTGACTTTTGTCTCCACACCACCTCTACGTCAATACCTTGTACTGGTACTAATATAGCTATTGAAATTAGAACATTTAACAAGGCTGTTTTAAACTTTCAAGCTCCTTTTCCGTAATTTTTTCTCTATCTTAAGGAACTTCTCATTTTTAACAGCAATATCATGATTTTATATAATATCAATGTCTTGAATCGTGTTCAATTTTTAATATAGCTCCCTTTCTAC